AATCGGGCTACTTACTTTCTCAATTTCCCTTTCTCTCTCTCTCTCTTTGGTGAGTGTACATGCCTTATAGCAAATTTAATAATAATAACAACTTAAATAAATACTTCTTAAAGAAAATTCTATTTCCCAGAATTGGTGAATACTGTAATCTTTGCCCATAAGAGAATATGAGTATATAGATAACCCACCCGTGCTTTTTTTTTTTTTTTCATTTGCTAGAGGGTGCCTGTGCTCATTGGAGAGAGACAGAGAGAAAGAGAAAGCAAGAAAACACTCCCAAAGAGGGACAGTCATGCTGTAATCCCTTCTCCATTTCTTCTTTCGGGATTTTTGAGCACACACGTACATGCAACTAGCATATTTCTCAGGCTGCTGGGTCTGGGGTTTGAACTGCTCAATCAGTCTTTTGGGATTGAGCTACCTTAACTACCATGCTGCCTGACTGGCCTCTATCCTTGATTTTTAGATGGCTAAAAGATAGCAGGAGTTTATTCATAACTTTTGCCTAACCAGGCTTTTCTGATCCGTATTGGTCTCACCCTTTTATAAATCTGTCACCTCTAGAGTTAGAGCATTTGATTTTATTCTTTTTTGGGGGGGGAGGGGCGGGGAGAGGTTTTTGCTATAGGGTGTGTATGCTCACCAGACAGAGAGAGACAGAGAGACCGAAAGTGAGAAATCATTCCCCAGGGGAGAATTGCCATGCTTCGGTCCCTTCTCTTCCATTCTCCTCTCAGGATCTTGGGCACACACGCACACGCGCCCGGCATGAGTTTTAAGCCACTGGGTCCGGGACACGAACTGTGGTCGACTACGTGGGAGTCCAGCGACATAGCCATTATGCTAACTGCTGGTCCCTTGATTTTGTTCCTGATTTTTCTTTTCTTTCAGCCATATGGCATGATTGCTCTCAATGGAGAGAGAGCGAGGGAAAAGAGGGAACAAAAAACGTCCCCAACCCACTGCCGATGGGTTCTTGCCCACAATCATGTCTCTTCTGTTTCTCTATCCTGTCAGTTTTTTTGAGCATGCATATACATGCTTGGCATGTTTTCCAGGCAGCTGGGGTCAGGCTTTGAACTGTTCAGTTGGCCACCTGGAAGGTGGCTCTTGTAACGTCTAGGCTGCAGGACCAGACCTCTTGATCGATTTTACATGAGAAAATCTTTTCCCTATAGCAATATTTAGTTCTGAGGATAAGAACTGTTGGGACCAGCAGTTAGCATAATGGCTATGTCACTGGACTCCCAAATAGTCAACTGCAGTTCGAGTCCTGGACCCGGTGGCTTAAACTCACGCCAGGTACATGTGTGTGCAGGCCCAAGATCCCGAGAGGAGAATGGAGGAGAAAGGATTGTGGCATGGCCAACCCCCTTGTGGGGGATTTCTTGAGTGCACGTGCCCTATAGCAAAAACTTCTCAAAAAAAAAAAAAAAAGAACTGTTTTTATCATACATCATCAATGTCCTGTTGTCAGGAAGACTCTTGATACTTGCTGCTCAGTCTAAAAGCTGAGCTTCATTTAGGAAATTTATTTCCTATCTTCAGTTGTTTGTGGAGAATTTGCTATGTATCGGTGCTGTGTTGGCACAAATACATAGGACTGCTGCATTTTGCTTTCACACTGAAGAAACAAATGATGAAAATTTAAGGTGTGGAGCACTCTGAATCTTCTTGTTCCCAGGGCAATAGAATTGCTAGGAAAGAAACCATTATTTGTTGGAAATCCTACTTTACAAACAGATCAGGGAAGTAAAGGGTTTCAGTAAAGGAATTTCAGAGTTCTCTTTGCACAACATTGTCAGTAATAACCCCCCAAAGCATAGAGAGACAGACAGAGGCAGAAAGTGAGAAATCACCCCCCCCAGAGGGGATGGCCATACCACAATCCCTTCTCCTCCTGTCTCCTCTTGGGATTTTGGGCACACATGCACATGCGCCTGGCATGAGTTTTTAGCCACTAGGTCTGAGACTAGAACCTCAGTTGACTGTGGGAGTCCAGCAACATAACCATTACACCATCTGCCGGTCCCAAGCATGATTGATTTTGATTTCTCGCTTGAACTGATGTTTGCATTGGCAGCCAGTGGGTGTGGTAGATAGGGGTTTTCCCATTGAAAGGGCTACACCTTGCTCTTCTTACTTTCCTTGTTAGCCCATGTTAGCCACCCCAGCCAGGCTCGTATCAGTGCTAGGCCATTACATGAGGGAGCTTAATGGAGTCTGGCTTTGAATGCATGTATATACATTAGAAAGTCAGTCTTTCCACCAACCCTGCTGAGTTTAAAAATATTACTTCTCCAGGTACAACATGCTTGGGAAATGTGCTGAACACTGCGTAATCATGTTACTGTGCTACAGGGGTGACTTTTCCTGGGTATAAAATCTGATTAAGTTAAATAAAATATGTAATGAAAATGCTTATTTAGAAGTTCATGGCCAGCCACAGTAGTGCAGTGGTAACGCAATGTTCTGTGATGCCGTAGCTGCGTGGGGAGGCCCAGGTTCGTGTCCCGATGTCTCACTGAAGGCTGGGCGTAGGTGTGCACCTGTGATCCTGGCTGGCTGAGGCTGGGGTGGGATGAGGCATGAAGACCCTGTTGGAGGTGCCTGGCCCTCTCCTTCTCCCATGGAAGAAATAAATAAAAATTAACTTAAGAAAAATTAAAGAGGCTCATGATGTGACATTGTGGACTAGTAGCATGGGTTCTGAAGAAAACTGCCTCGTTCTGCCCTTCAGAGCTGTGGAACCTCAAGTGAGGCCCTCTCAGTGCTTAGTGCCCGTGAAACAGAATATGACAAAGCTGTTGGGAGGATTAGCTGAGCTGCTGCAGACGGAACCCTGGGCGTGTGAGTGTTGGTTATTCCAACCGTGTTTACTTTTGCTAATTGATGAGATCATATCCTGAGATTTCAATAATGAGTCATAGTAGAACTGCCATCTTCACCATCTCCCCAGAATTCTTGGTTTCCAGGCCATCTGACTGTGTCCACTGTCACTGAAGTCTTAAGAATTTATTAATTGTGCTTTCTGTGAAGGTGATAGCCACAGTAGTGAGAGGTGCATTTCGAGTAAATTTTAGTGTTTGAATATCAATACCTGCTCAGTTATCTCTCTATAAATGCTGCCATTGGCAACGGCCAAGGCATGTTTGTTGTTAATTAATCACTTGTGCTAAAAACTTAATTAGTGGCTTAATTAGGATCATTCTTGAGTAGCAGCAGCAGCATCCTGAACCAGCTGCAAATTATTGGCTAGCTTTCACAAACCTGCTGCCCGGTGAAAACTTAGTATGAGATGGAAACTTGTATGCCTGTTATTTTTGTCATCTACTAAGAAACCCAGAGAAGACCTTCTGCTGTCTGTGATGTACCTGTGTACTGATCACGGGAGTGAAATAAGGGGATGCTGTTCACTTAGCCTGGAGCCATCAGAAAACCAGATTATTGAATCTGTAGTGTCTGGAGGTGCTGAGAATCAGACCACGGACTCCGAATATGACAAGGTCTTACATTTTTCTGTTGACAATTAAAATACTTTCCTTCTGGCGTCATTCGATATATGTATTTGTTTTGTTTTGTTTTGTTTGTTTTTTGGAGAGGTTTTTGCCATAGGGTGCGTGTGCTCACCAGACAGACAGAGAGACCGAAATCGAGAAATCACCCCCCGGGGGGATGGTCATGCTGCAATCCCTTCTCCTCCATTCTCCTCTTGGGATCTTGGGCACGTACGCACACGTGCCCGCGTGAGTTTTAAGCCACCGGGTCCAGGACTCGAACCGCGGTCAACTATATGGGAGTCCAGCGACATAGCCATTACGCTAACTGCTGGTCCCGATATATGTATTTTTGAAACATTGCCATATTGTTACAAGATGAAATCAACACTTCGTTATCTTTTTCTTCACCCCCTTAGAGAAATACAAGGCAAAAGTAGTATCGTCTTGGGGCCAGCCCGTGGCATGGTAGTTAAGGCAGTTGAATCCCTCATTACCAACTGTGTAGTTCAAGTCCCAAACCCATTGGCTGGAAAAACATGCCAGGCTTATGTGCATGTTTGCCCAAATTCCCAAGAGGAAGATGGAAAAGGGATTGTGGTGTGGCCATCTCCTTGGGAGGCTGATTTCTCACTTTCTGTCTCTCTCTCTCTGGCAAGTGCACATGCACTATAACAAAACTTGAAAAAAATTTTAAAAAAAGGTAGCGTCTTCTTGTCATGTTTTCCTCTAGAAGTAGAAATTGGGGGCCCGCTGAAGTAGCACAACCAGTAGGGAGCTGCTGAGTGGTGTGGAGCCACAGTGGGAGGTGGGAGCTGGAGCCTCGCCAGTGGGGCTGGGCATACTGGCTGTGCACATGCGTGCCCAACGCTCCTGGCTGGTGCGGGTGCAGCGGGGAGAGCGTGGCATGGTGAGAGTCTCAAGAGTACCTGTCTGTCTGTCTTGTCCCCTCTTTCTCTCTCTTTCACACACATACACACACTCACACTCACACACACACACACGGAATCAAAAAATATAGGGCTGGCAGGTGGCGTGGTGGATAAGGGTGCTGGATTCCCACATTGCCGACGGCAGTTTGAGTCCCAGACCTGGTGGCTTGCTTTCTCACTTTTCCTCTCTCTCTCACTCTCTCTCTTTCTCATTAAATTAAAATAAATAAATACATAAATAAAATTAAAAGAATACTTTTTTAAAGAAAGCAATAAGTAAATTGCAAAAACAATAACAGTAGAAATTGAGTTGGGAATGAGAGACAAAATACAATTAAGTTACTCTAAAAATTCCTGTAGACCTTTTGGATAGACTGTAACTTAGCACCAAACGAGATCAAAATAAATGTGCCAGTAGCTTCTCCTTTATAGAAAAGGGGGCCTTGTGTCACTTCCTCAGTGAAGGACAGGCGCTTTTGCTTCATTCTTTTGACTGCTATGGGCTTTTGGGCGATTTGGGTAAATTGTGAACTTGGTGTGTGAATCAATTGAGATATTTTGTATCTTTCAGATTTGCTGCTTCCAGGAGAAGTGGAGGAAGAAGTGAGCACCTTCACTCCTTCTTGTGTTCTTCCGGTGGCCCGGCCTCTCAGCCCTGAAGTGAAGCCAAAGCCCACTGTAAAAGGAACAGACACACGCGACGAGGTAATCTGGGCGGGAGGCGAGGTTCGGTGTGGCCTCGGTGCTGCACTCTGGCCTCCCGGGGAAGTGCCGCTGTAACTGTGTGCTGCTGTGCTTTCCTCAAGGTTTAGGAACACTTCATCCTAAAGCTGTGTAGTCCATTCCTCTCACTGCTGTCAGTTTCTAACGTGTATATATTTTTTGATGCAGAGCAATCATGTTTTCAAGCGAAAACTGTTTTGGTTTGTGATGTGTACTACACTGTAGGGCGGTCCTACCTAGGGGACCACACTGTACAAGGATAGCCATTTTCTTCTCTTTCTTGGTCTGAACTGGCCGTTTTTCATTTTATTATTTCTAAGGTCCTATTTATCTTTCGTATTGGTTTGGGTAAATCCAGGCTGCTAGAATAGAGAATCCCAATGACAGTGCTATGGCTGGAAGGAAGTAGGAGTCTGTCTCTTCTTTCACAGTCTCAGATAAAGTTTGAAGCGCTCAGTCCTCTGGGTCAGGCCCGGGCCCTGTTCTCTGATGGCCACTATCCTTGGACACTGTCCTCACTGCATGTTCCAAGCCAGATCACCCGGAGGGGCAGGGGTGCAGGCACAGGGGCAGCGTGTTCCCCCAAAGCTGCTGTTTTATCCCGTCCCAACCACGTACCACACATTCATAGCCAGCTACAGGGAGGCTGCCACATGCCACTCAGCCACGGGCTTGAAGGCAAGAAGAATGGACTCTCTGCCACATCTTCACTCTCCCAAATGCAAGACTGGAAAGTCATTGTTTTGCTGTCATTTCCGCTCTCCGCATGTGATTAACAACGCGGCGCTGATGTTGGGCACTGGCTTTCCCACCGCCTGGCTCCCGCGGGGAGTCAGGCACTGGACGTTGCTCAGGCGCTTTACTGTCACGCCCTGAAGCTGCCCCGGGCCTTCCTTGTGACACAGTCATCCTGGCGCGGCTCATCACTGGGAGATGCTCTGTTATAAACCAGTCATTCATGCAGAAATAATCCACACGTTGCAATTTAAATTGTCCTTTTCTCGTAGTGCTTGAGTTCACTGACATCAAAAAAATGTATCCAGGATTGCATTAAACTCCCAGGCTGGCTACCGCGTAAACTGGTGGGGACAACCCCTCGCCAGCATGCTTTTTCAATTACAGAGTGTGCTCCCTCTGAGAGGTAACCATCTAAAATCACAAGGTTATTCCTAGTGGAAATCATTTGTTTAAGACCTGTTCATTTTCTGGACTTCACTTGCAACCATGCAAGTTACTAGACAGCCAGTGGAAATGACCTCTAGTACCTTTATATAAGCATAGTTGTGTTTCAGGATGATTATGGTACATGTGCGTGTGTTTGTGTATATACACATAGACATACATATATATACACACATTCACACACACATACATACATACACATACATATATGTACACACGCATATATACGCACATACACACATATATACACATGCACATATACACATGCATATATACACAATACATATACACACATATATGCAAATGTGTACACATATATGCATATTATACACACATATGCATATACATACAGAGATACATACACATATACACACAGATACATACACACATACATATATACACACATACATATATACACATAGACATATATACATACATACATACATATACACACATACACACATACACACATACTTACACACGCATATATACACACACACATATACACATGCACACACACATGCATATATACACAATACATATACACACATATATGCAAATGTGTACACATATATGCATATTATACACACATATGCATATACATACAGAGATACATACACATATACACACAGATACATACACACATACATATATACACACATACATATATACACATAGACATATATACATACATACATACATATACACACATACACACATACACACATACTCATATATACGCACATAGACATACATACATACACATACACACATGCATACACACATGCATACACATACATATATACACACATGCACACATACACATATATACACACATATACACACATATATACACACATACACATATATACACACATACACATATACACATATACATATATACGCAATACATATATATGCACACATACACACACATACACACATATATACATAGATATACACACATATACATATATACACATATATACACACATATATATACACATATACATATATACACACATATATACAAACATACACATATATACACACATATACGCACATATATACACACATACACATATATACACACATACACACATACACACATACACACATACACACATACAACACATATATACACACATATACATACACACATACATATACACACACATGCACATATATATTTGTACAGTTATAGAAATTGTTATAAAGGGGCATTAGTTAATGGGTTAAAAAAAGCTGAGTGGTTTCTGGAATCTATTGAATAGCCAGTAAAATGCAATTTAAAACTATATGGGGGCCAGCAGGTGGCGTGGTGGTTAAGGGTGTTGGATTCCCACATGGCCGACTGTGGTTCAAGTCCCGGACCTGGCAACTTTCTCACTTTCTCTCTCTCTCACTCTGTCCCTCTCTGGTCAAAGTAAAATAAATAAGTAGGTAAAGTTAAATACAAATAATTAAAAAAAAAGACTCCGTATATGATTGAATCTTTAAAATGAAAATAATTTTTTTTTACTAGAGAATGTGAACATTTATTGATGTTGGAATCAAAAGGATGAGAACAATGTTGTGTTGTTTGAGCCATAGATGATTAACTTTTGCTTTTTTGCTGTTTTTTGACTATCCAGAATAATATCTTGGTTGGGACTTTTACTTCTGACCACTGTTTGTTAGAGAACGTCTCCTTTCTGTCTAGAACAGCAGCCCTACGCCAGTTCTGCCTCGGTTGGCGCGTCTGTCTAGAACAGCAGCCCTACCCCAGTTCTGCCTCGGTTGGCGCGTTCATCTTGTTGTAAAGCACCCACAGAACGTGATGACCCGTTTCTAGCAAATGTGTCCTGAAGAGCCTACCAAAGGCTGTCTGGAGCCAGCGGTGGTGGTTTCCTGTGACTTCAGTCTGCAAAGATGAGGACCCGTTCTGGATGTTACGACTTCTTTTTTTTTGGAGAGGTTTTTTTTTTTTTTCTATTTGGGTTCGGGGCT